GATGAAAGTGTAGATGAACCAGTTCCCGAATCATTTTCGTTTAATGACCTAATAAGAAATCCTGAAACCATCCATGATAAAGATACGAATGAAATAGACAAGAAATACGAGAAATTCGGTAATATAGTTGATCAAGTTTTTGTGGAAATTCCAAAACACGCTTCTAAAATAATAAAGAACAGTTTTAATGATGGAAAATTATATGACAATTCTGTCGATGAAATTTCCAAGAAAATACAAACCAGAATTAATGACAAGATGTCTGAAATCCTTCGTAAAATCTCTATCAAAATATCTGAAATAAGTTTTTATACTCCGTACGTGGATTATTTACTTTCTGCAAACATTTCTATAGAAAAAATAGAACTTGCTAAAAAAGAATCATCTGATAAAGAAATACAGCTTACTACAAAAATACATTTTATTAAAAAAATAAATTTTCCTGAGTTAAAAAGAATAATTTTTGCTGAGATACATGTTGAAATTATCATTATGTTACTAGAAGAACTTTTCAACATATTTCTGGAAAATTTTTTTAACCTATTACAAGAAAATATTTCAGACAATATTGAAGAAGATAAAGAATTTATAGAAATTATTAAAGGAAAGACTTTAATTAATAGAGATAAAGCGGATGAATTTTCTAAGAATATTTCTACTGAATTTTCTACTGAAATTTCTAAAAAAGTCATAGAGAAAATTTCTATTAGGATTCAAGAAGAAGTTGAAAACCATTTTTACAAGATTCTTAATATAATTTATAGAGCTTTTAAGGTGGTAGACGAATATGGAGATGGTAAAATAGAAATCTCTAACGGGCAAGAAACTTCTTATAAAGGACAAGGTGGTTCTTCTGAACAAAATTCAGAATCTCCTATTGAAGAACAAAACTTTGCTGAAAAAATACAAAATCAGCATTTCACATTAACCTATGATATTAATGAAATCAAAACCCTATGTTATAAGACACTGAATGATGAACTAAATGGTATTAAAACTGCGGAAAGAAATAATCTTGCTAAATCACTGGAAGATATTGTAAATAAAGATGTCAACAAAAGTAAGGAAGTAGATATTGAGCATATCGTATTCATTATTTTTGCTATACTTGATAGCGAATCTTTAGTATTTTTATATAAAATAGTAGAAGATTATGCTAAAAAAGTAAAAAATTATTATAATGTTCGAAAGACTGATGAACCGGAGAGTGGCCTCGAAAAAATTGGTCTGAAGGATGACCATGATCAGAAGAGTGACACCGGAAATAATGATAACGATATTGAACGATATATTGAAAGGTTTATTATAATTAGAGTATGGGAAGAAATTATTTTTAAGAGTATTCCACTTATTATTATTATGGTATGTCAATAAATTTTATTTATCTATTTAGTGTACACAATTTTGATATAAATATTCAAAATATTTTGCATCTTGTTTAAACAGGTAATTTATACTTCATCAATAGTGATCTATTCTTATATACCGTTTATGGCATTAATAACTTCCTGCCTGAAATGTTTTGTAATCATTACTACTTTGGCATATCGTCATTTGACCAATCGACGTTGAGGTGATCAGTGTTCAAAACTGAAGAAAATTTTATCCATATATTACAATATGTTAATTTTTCATTATTTCCAATTTTATTTGTGCAAAATATTATTATCCAATAGTTTACTATGATATGCACATAAATATATCAATAAATATATAATATTTCTGGTGTTAATCCACTAAATCAATAGGTAGCTGTGCTAAAACCAGGGATGGTTGCATCAATGATTATACGTAATGACCTTAGAATTCATATCATACATATATAATTGTCATTGTCTTTACTGAATTACTGCTTGCTGCTATAACACAAGTCATAATTACACATAAAATTTTTAAATACTATAAAGCACACTAAATCATATTGCCATATTCTTAATGCAGTGCCATAATGTCATATGCCTATTAAGTTTTCATTTAAAAAACGTATGAAGCTGAAAAAGTGAACGATTATGAAAGTAATTCATTTAATGAAGGACAGGCTTAACTCTGTTCCAAAGCTGATGAAACTGACTGAAGGTCGCGAAACTATAAAAAAACAGCATACCTGGTAAATTTTAGTAAAACTGAGATCAAATACATAACTTATTAAAATAATAAAATTGACATGATCGATCGAATGTTATAAACTTGATATATGTAGCAAAACTAACAAAATATAATATAATCAACTTATCACTTGTTAATGCTATTGTGAATATAACCTTTCATTATAACGTCTACTTTCTATATTTTATACTAATAGACTTACCTATATACTGTATCTGAAATGTCATTTACTTACCTTGATTTTTTATCTTTCAATAACTTTGTCCATCATAATATGTATTGGTGAGTTAGTAGAAATGCATTAAGTAAATTTTTTTAGGACTTTAAATAAAAATTACTTATCTAAAACTTAATCAAATTTAATAAAAATTTTTTTTTTGATTTTAAGGTGACCTCTTGGTTGGCAGATTATTATTAGATTTACAGTAAGTTAAAATTTAGTAATGAAAGTACAACTAGCAACATGTACAATTTTTGGTTGTTTAATTTAAGTAGTCTGCTATAGGGTTCTACACTAGCTGCCATACCTATAGCCTAACTAGGAAGCTATCTATTTAAACTTTCTGGTTACAATTCTTGTACTCTATCTTTAATTTAACCCAGGTATAATCTTACTATTTATAGATATGGATCTATGTAAAACCACTAGATTGACAGCCAACTTAGAACTCTTTTTGGCTTAACCTCAAGATAAACTAATACCACATTGCTATATCCTATACATGGGATATATATTTATTTAGTAACTTCATTTTAATTAGTATATATTGTTTGTCACCATTGTGTTTGTATCTCATGCCACCTTTTGAAGTGCTATCATAACACAATATATATTTCAAGCACAACCTTCTTAACTAGTTTTTTATTACTTATTTTTTACTTTTATTAAGATTTACAAACCCCAGTATTCTATTTTATCTTTTTGTACTTTGTACTCTTGGTTTGGTCTTCCAATCCAGATAGTCCAAAAGTATTAGTCTGCCGAGACCCATGTTTCTTAGGCTTAAGTCTAAGATCTTTCAATTTTTGATACATGCTTTTATGGTATATGACCTTTTTCTCTAGAGTTTTATTCTAGAATCTTTTCACTAGTCAAGTTAACCAATAAATATACAACTAGTATAGCTCTAGTGACTCTGGTTGCCTGGTTGGTAAATCTATTTGCCCAAAGATCTTTGTTATCCAATTTAATTTCTAGACTCCTTTATTCTATCTTATAGTGCTAAGAATAAAAACTTAGACATATAACTAATAAATATACAGCTAGTATAGCTCTAGTGACTCTGATTGTCTGGTTGGTAAATCTATTTGCCCAAAGATCTTTGTTATCCAATTTAATTTCTGGACTCCTTTATTCTATCTTATAGTGCTAAGAATAAAAACTTAGACATATAACTAAAAAACTTAAAAGTTAAGTAATTTTAAAAACTTATCTATAGTCTAAACCTACAAAAGTGGCTAAAACTTATCTAAATTTAAAGTAAATTAAAAATATATAAAGAATGTATACAATATTTAATTTAGTACAAATATAAATAAAATATTATATAAATTTTTAAAATATAAAAATTATAAATTAGTATGAATAAAAATTAATAATAGATAACTAGCTTACTTTAAATATTTTGATTAATAATTATATTGATAAACAATAATTAATAATAAAAAGTGTATATATTGTTTTTAAATACTTTAATAAATTATTTATATTTTTAGACTATATTAATTTAAATAATTTTTACTTTTTAGCTAAATTAATCTAAATAATTAACTTAATAAATAATTTATAATTTTACCAAGTTAGAATAATTTAAAAAGTAAAAAAAATTATTTGTTATACTTTAAACTATATTTATAATATTAAAGTTATTTATTGTTATATACTTGATATATTGTAATTTAGAATAAATTAGTTATACAACTAAAATTTAGAAAACTAATTAAATTCTAGAATAAAATAAGTTAGAATTAATAAATTTGTTAATAATCTAGTAATCTATATTTTAAATAGTATTTTTAAATACTAATTTTTTATAATATAATATATTATTAGCATACTAGTATATATAGTAAACAAATTTTGTATTTAGTTTAAAAAAATATTAGATTTGAAAATATTATATAATTTACTAAAATCACAATTCTCTTGTCAAAATCTTTACTGACTCACAATTTATCATTTCTAAATTTAACAAACTTCAATCTCTTTTACCTTACTCCTCCAAACTCTTTGAATTTAATGCTTGACCTATCTAGCATACACTTTTTAATATATTAAAATTCTTTAATATTCAACTTACTTTTTATAAAGTTCAAGCCTACTTAAATAATTTCTTTAATAACTTTGCTAACCTGCTTGCAAACAACTATTCTATCTCATCTATTCTACAATTTAATTATACAAATTTCTACAATCCATACTCTACTTTACTCTAGAATAATACCTATATTGAAGCTCTACTAGATACTTTATTAAAACAATTCACAAAGCATATATTATCACATTATAGTCTTTACAATAGCATGCCCAAGAATGGTTATACTTTTCTTACTTAATTGACTAGCAAGCTACCTGGTTATACTTCAACAATAACTAAAAAATTTTACATAATTTTACTAATTTCAAATTAAATTATTTAAAATCCTTCAAAATTAAATTACTTCTAAATATTTTACCAACTAATTTTTATTTTTATTTTATATATCTCTCTATATTTATATCTTCTAACTGTTTTTTCTGTAATAGCTTAGATACTTCTTTCTACTAGTATACATGTTCTAATAATACTCTTCTAATTCAAAATATCAATACTTCTATTTATAAAATTATCTCTAATGCTAGCCTCAATCTTACTTCATATCAACTCAACAACTTAATATACACGATTTCCTCTCACCCTTCCTTTAATCTCTTACCTTCTACTTTATACTCTTATTTACTTCACTCTACACTTAAAAGCCTTATCTCCAAACTTAATCTAATCTCTAAACTTCTTTAATATTTTTTACTCTCAAGCCTCATAACTAATTATACAAATACTTCTTAAAATTTTTGATCTTACTTATAACAATATATGGATTCCATATTGCACAAACTTCTTATATTAAAAAAAAGTCTACTAGATTTCTACTTGCTTTATATCTAATATACTACTTTATCTCTCTTTACTTTAAAATTATAGCAGAAACAGAACTATGTCTACCATTAGCTGCTCTTGTAGTTTTGCTAAGCACTTACATTCTGAATTTAATATCTGTCTTCATCTAGGATAGGTTTCTTTAAAAATAAATATTTGGCATACTATGTGGATTAAATATTGCACATCTATTAACCATATTTTATCTATCCAAATCTAGGTAAGTCTTGACCACTCTAGTAGGTTTAGATCACAGATAATTTTGTCTGAGCTTTTATTTTTGTATAAAATTTATATTTATTTGTTTGTATACAAATTAAGTTTTTATATAGCTTTATATAATTATTTATATAAATTATTAAATAAAGATATGAGCAAAACCTTATTTTAATACCAAAATATATATATATATATAATTTACTAAAATAAATAAACTAATCAAATTGCAAAATTATATAGTAATTAATTTTAAAAAATAAAACTCTATTGTTCTTGCTATTAAAAAATTAATAGAAAATTAGGTTTTATATTTTTTAAACTTGATTAATATTAAATTGTGAGTTTATAATCTAATCAGTTATAAATATATATTATATAAATTTGAATCAATAAAATTTAGCTAATTAAATTAATAAAAATAAACAGATAGATATATTTATTAATTTGATTAGCTTATTATTATATATATATATTAAAAATCTAAATAAATAAACTATTAAATATATTCTACTAGTAATATTTTAAACAAAAATACTTGTATTATAGTAATAAATCTTTATTAATAAGTTAGATTCTATTATCTATAACTCTAGTTATTCTAATACTGTTGAACCTCCCTAAATCGATCCTCTCAAAACCGATAACCTGTCAAATCTGATAAAAAAATCAGTCTACAAAGTCCATTTCTGTTATATAAATCTAATAGTTTATAATGTTTTCCAAATCCGATAACCTCACAAGACTGATACAAATTCGGTCCACCATG